ACGTTAAAAAGAGTATTGGAGCATCGCTTCAGATATTTGCAACCCATTGTCACGTGTTTCATCGGCTTTGCTGCCTTTGATTCAATTGATAGAGCGACACTATGGAGGGTGATGGAATGCGACGGTGTTCCAGAGAAGGTCATTCGACTCATAAAGGCATTTTATGAGCGTCTGTGCATATGAGGACAGATGAATTGACAGATTCCTTCGAAATAAGAACTAGTGTCCGTCAAGATTGTGTCCTTTCCTTTGCAATATTCAACTATGCGATAGATTGGGTAATGGACACCGCTTGTCGGTACTCAAGGGGTGTCTAAATCAGTCCAGAGTATCGTATCATAGATCTTGAAAACGCTGATGATGTAGTCCTTTTTGCTGTCAGATATGATGAAATGCAAGTAATGCTAAATAACGTGTCAGAAATTGTAGCAAGAATAAGACTCAGGTCAATGTATATGAAAGTCTTTTCGTCTTATGTATAAGAAGCTGATAAAATGCTTCTTTTTGTAAATTCATTGCTGGTCGAGGAAGTGCCCGATTTTAAATACCTTAGGTCCACTCTAGTATCAAATGTATCAAATGGCCAGGCAAAAGCGATATTATAGCCCGGATCACGGCAGCTAAAAATGTTCTTCAGGTTGACGAAACCTTAATGGAACCGTCGTAAAATGGGAGCACCGATGCTGGGGTTCGATTTCCCCGCAGGAGTAAACCTGTACAAAAATCAGGGTGATGCTGACTACTCACCTTTGTTTCTATCGCCAAAGAACTCCCTGGTATATTGTCCAGTTGATGAGCCAGTGGAGCGAGTTTAACCAATAATGGTGAGGAGTCTTAAAAAAAATATTCATATTAAACTTGACTGAAAAAAAGATTGACCAAGTAAATTATATTATAAATTATGCCATAGAGATTATTATTTAAAAGACGAAATTTTAGCAAAATTCCATTAAATTTTAAGATTTTGGTCAGAATAAGTGTCGTTTTTAAATCATTATACGAAATTCGATTTCTAAAAAACTACAAGTTCCACATTTACTATGAAACATGCATTTAAACTAAGCCATAATTTTTATTTAATCTTCCTTTTCTAAGCATCACGAATCATTATAGTCCATTTCCTCACAATATTTTTTTGAGCCTCTTGACCCAATATCGTATCCGAACAAATGCTATCGTTTTGGCCACTATTTACGTATTCGAAATTGAATTTGAAATTACCAATAAAAGAAATTTCAGAAATTTTTTCAGAAATATCAGTGATCCTCGATCTAATAAAAATTAGTTCATAACAAACGATTCCGAGGAAAGTTTAAGGAATTAATTCGAAAATAAGTTTGGCTAATTCTCAAATATCTAAAGGAATGTATTCCAAAAGTCAGCCACTTCCACACTAGGACATATTAGTAAGAAGTGCACTAGTTGGGTATAGAAAGCAATTGTCCAACTGCCCGAATATCACAAATATCTTGATTACTGAATGTTTCGATGAACAATGGCGGAACATCACAACAGAAATTGCTATACTATATACTATAGAGCGATACTTTAAAAATGGAGACGGCGCATCGATCAGGATAGCATACTATTCTGTTTTTTTCATAAAGTAACTATAACTCATGGAATGACCAGTGAAATGATGCTGGGTAGCAATGAGTGTGATTGATAAAACTATTCAGGATCGCCTCATGAGGTAAAAAGGAAAGGACTTGAGGTCTAACTTAACCACGGTGTTCGCAATTGCGCACAGAAGATAATCTTTAATAATCTTATAATAATCTTTGTTATCCATAAGCTTAAGACCAATGAAAGGAAGAATTATCCTTCATAATGCACTTTTAACAAATTTACTCTCTGGTATAGAAGAAAGAAACAATACCAGATGACCAGAGCAAAGCTGTTCTGCTTCCGTTCCTAAGAAAGATGAGAGGACATAATGTGAAAAATCAGCCTAGACGAATTAGACGTCTTAGTGAAAATTTTTACTTCCCTTCTACTCAATAGACTTATGGCAGTTGGGGCATAAAATGGCTCAGCGGTTGTTGCACAATAAGGAGCACCGATGCTGAGGTCCTACTCCTCTAAGGAGAAAATCTAAAAATCCAAATATTGCTACCTATACATCTTTTGCCATAGGGCGAGTTTAAACAGACAGCTCTTCAAAAAAAAAGACTTATGGTAGTACAGCAGGATACGCCCAACATTGGAAGGGAAAGCAGTTGCTGGCCAGATATTCCGCTGGAACATCGGAATATCAGCAACCCATCGTCACATGTTTTATCGATTTTGCCTGCCTTCGATTCAATATACTGATGATGTAGTCCTTTTTTGCTGAAAGTTATGACGAAATGCAGGTAATGCTAAATAATGCTCCGACAAGTGCAGTAGACTCAGATCAATGTAAAAATGTAAAAACGAATACCTGTCTTCTACAGAAGCCTATTTTTCAATTCAATGCCGCTTGCTCTAATTCATTAAACGAAGGCTTAATGTGTTCAAGCTCAATAGAGCCGAGGAGCCACATATAACAATATAGTAACAATATACGACACCAAAGTAATTTTATAACACTTGTTGTCACTACACTTATATGAAGTTTGATTTGGATCTTCGTGACTTTTGAGCCTTAAAAAACTTTTAACTTGGCATGCTTTTTAGCAGGGAACTGAATACTAACAATAGTTTTTCTTTCACAGTTACCCACAGTTTACATTTGCAAATAACGACAGGAAGGCTTTACTCATTTTTATGATTTCATCAGTTCACTATGGTGCTGTAGTGGCTAAGTGCAGTCTTTCTGCGTTTGTAGCAAGGTGGGTTCAACTCCTTGCCCGAGAAATATAAAAAAGTGTTTCTCATCAGTGCTTCTTTAAGCATATATGAATTTTTCGTATGTTCAAGCTTGATGGAGCTCTGAAGCTTCACAATGCACACTTCGCCTACTACAAGGCATAATATTGCGCTTTCAAAATAGATTTTATATGGTTTTTTTCCGCGCAACACATTTTCTGAAGAAACTTCAAAGGAATCGACGAAAAATTAACCTTAAGGCATGAAAAAAACCACGACATTTCGACGTCTTTTTGAATAACAATTCTATCTTTAAAGGCTATGTAACGATATATAGCCTTTAAGATTTTTTCACGATAAACCGACAGATTAGCATTAAATATTGTAAAATTTGCGGAGACTTATGCCATACCGTTAATCTTATAAATATTTAATAAACTGTATCATTCTTAGAGTGGAATCAAAGAATTTCACCATAAGCCAGGACGCAAATCCGATTCAATTGCAATATTTTTTGAACGTTTTAATATCATAAAATTTATAGCAAAACTGGACATAAAACCAGGTTTAGAATTAGAATTTTCGCAATATATTTAAATAAAAATGAAAATCATCTAATAAAAATTATACAATAAATCATACAATAAAAATTTTATATTTTGCATTTTCTTGCAAAATGCAACTTTATTTTTAGTCATTTTATTTCAAATATCAGCAAGAGACATCACTAATATTTATTGCTTTATAATTTTCTTTCAATTAGCATTTCCATAAGTGTATATATTTCATGGATATATGATGGATGTCTAAGAAAACAAGCGTATCTTCCACGCATTGCATAACCATGAATGAACATGATTAATTAAACAATAATTTCCTCAGTAACGAAAAATTAAAAATTATTTTTAAAAAATTCAATATTTGAAAATTTTTGACCAATAAATGCAGAAAGGTGCGGGAAAACATTGGAAAATGCGGAAAGCGAGCTGGGGGCACTCTTAGACTTTAAAACTTACGCTATATGATGAATATTGTTGAATATATAATATATATTTATCCTATATATCTAAGATATATCTATCCTATTAAGTTAAATTAAGCGAGAAATTAAGCCTTACTCAGTGAGTTTTTTTCATTTCGTAGCGTCGATTCTGGAGTCAAACTCTCATTAGAGTAAACTTGCATTTCAAAAATCCACATAATACTCGGCCTAACCAGAAATGGTGAATACTGGCAAGCTACCCTTCTATTGCCAAGTGACTCCGCGCCTTGTCTGATTGTAATGAAAAACGGTGAGTGCTATTAGGAAAGAAAAAGGAGATAAATTAATAATTAATTTGTTAATTTTTTTTAAAAGATTTTTCACAATTTCGTTAACTTTAAATTTAAATTTAACTTTTTTTCAACAGTTTTAAAATTTATCTTAATTTATTAATTATTTTAATTTAATTTAATAGCCATCATTTAATAGTTTCATTTTTTAAAAATTTTATAAAATATTTTTTGTTTCGGCAACTAAAAATTTGATCAGTTAATTAAAATAAAATTTGTTTGCAGAAAGAGGTGAAATTTTCAATGTTTGCACATTCTAGACTTTTACGCTATGGTTAAATTTTTTAGAAAATCGTTCCTATTTAGGACAATAATAATTGTGCATTTTGATAATTAAATGAGTACAGCACAGCATTAGTATATCGAGTAATTAAGCGCACTTTAAAAGGCACAATTTATTTCAACTTCTCTCTCCTTTATATAAATCTGAAAGAACCACTGTTTTTATCATAACTTAAACCAATCATCGCCAAACTCCTTTCTTATATATTTCATTTCCTTCAATATTTTCTATTTAATATGTGAAAAATACTGTAAATATATTACCTTTTTTTCAATTTGCAAATTTCGAAATTTTATAAAAATCAATTTTTCACAACTTTAATCGTCTTCTGTACCGACATTCTAAAATGAAATATGAAATGGCACACTATGTATGGTATAAGAACTGAAATATTTCTGCTATGTTTTTCTTTCAGAAGTTCGAGTAGCCCTTAAGCTGTGGGTGAGAGTCTATAAATATGCCTGAGAAACGCGACACAGATACTTGTATGTAAGTTCTTTTTTTTCATACGCAACTACTAATGGAAAGTCTCCATAACAATAGTGAACAGTTAGTTGTCGCTAATTACAGCACAATGGGTGTAATCCTTAAAAAATAGATCAATAAATAAGCAGATCAGACTGGGCCAAACGGGAAATTTATGTATTAACGATCTTCTAACGGTTTTTAAGAGCGTACGAGAAAAATTAAATAATTGATAAAAAGATTCTAAATATGAGAAATTTTGAACAAATTTATGCTTCTATGGATTTTGCAACATAATAAATCTTAAAAATTTTTTTTCGCCAATTTTAAATTTACAGGCTTTAATTTTTAAAGTTTTAATTTTTTTTAGGAACCAACAAATAAATGCGATTTACGATCATCCGCATCACGTGCCAATATTCAATACTTGCTACCAGAACGGAAAACTTGGGTTATCTTTTTTGTTCTTTATTGATGTAAGCGAAAAAATTTTATTTTACTTTTATCTTCGTTGCATTAAAACCTCTGAAATATCAAGTCAAAACTTTTCAGATTATTTTTAAGCAAAATAATGAATTCCTTAATGAATTTTATTTTTTGAATTATTTACTTTATAGATTATTTTTACGGATTATAGGATTAGAATAAGTGAGTGGATAGTAGCACAGATATCATAAGAGCCAAGAACAGCTTAGTTATCAGTTTTCATTTCGATAATAAGAAATTTATTATAAAAAGACTGGGGAGATGCTGGCGACTTATATATGCATCTATCGCCAAGTGGTTCCCTGGCAGGAATTTCTAACAAAGCGAGTCTAACCAGAAATGGTGAATGTTAACTATTCTTAATTATTTTTAAGAGTTTAAATTTGTCAGTTTTCCTTTTGCGCCACTTTATTTTCATTTAATTTAAAACACTTTCTATGAAAATAAAATAAAAAACGAACTCCTATAACAGATTATTGAATTTAAAATTTTTAAATTATGTAAATTTACTGAACTTCCTTATTTATTTAATTTATTTATAAACCTGTTGTTGATGAAATTTATTGGCAGATTCCTTCATCCTCTTTTAACAAAACTTTTCTAGTTTGGTTGACTGCACTAACTACTAAGATGAGACTTTTCGTCAGTAAGTCGACCACTTGGCAAAAGTGCCTTAAGTTGGTTATCTTTCGAAAAAAATATCTGCCCCAAAAGAAGTTTACAACTTTCTCACTCCTGTGTTTTTAATTAGTAAAGTTAAATATTTGTAGCAATTCACAAATATCGGAAATAAATCGTATTATGTTGCTTTATAGAAGAAAATCAAACGACCCTGAAAACTATAAAACGGTGTTATTTTGTTATTTCTTTTCTTCTAACATCACTCAGCATTTCTGCCTTGCTTGTTCATTTGGCCATGAGGACAAATCTCATTTCACGCAAATATTTGAAGGAGGAATCGTATAGTGATGGCATTCTAACTATAATTCAGATTTCACGCTTGTTTTCGTCATGGGGAGGATTAGAAACTGATCATCTTATCTTGGTTCCTATTATGAATGGCTTATCATTAGATTTATCATGAATGATTTACTCAGTTTATATTAATTATTATATAATATTTTAAAAAAAAGTCAGCATTTATCGCAAATGATTTAAGGTGATGTGCCGATCATGGCTTGAAAATACTAAATGTGCATTTGCAAAAAATTGTAGATTTGCTCACGGCGAGGAAGAATTACGACCTATGTAAAATGCTCATTAGATTTTTCTAAACTTAGAATTTTAATGTATTTACTATTAAATATGAAAGTAATTTCGCGAGAATTTATAAACTTTTAGTAACAAAAAAGTGAACTCGAAATACAAAACGAAAATCTGCACAAAATATGCCACAGGAATTTGTCCATTTGGTAATAATTGCCTTTTTATTCATCCGTATGTACCGAATGGAAATCCCTATTTTCATCCTCTTCGAGTAAGCCTCTTTCAAATTTATTTGTTTTCATATTGATTTTTAATAATATTAGCATTTATAGAAATTTGGAAATTCTGGTTAAATAAGGTGAGAAAATCTCTTGTAACCTTTATCGAATAAAAATTTTGGTTATTTTATCTCAAAAAAAGGATTGATAACCATGCTTTGTAGATAGGCTTCAAGAAATCTATGAACTTGAATAAGGGAAAATTAAATATCAATGTCACCAAATTCATGTTTAAATTTGACATTTTCATCAATTATAAATGTAGGGACGAAACAATAATAATAATAAAAGACTTTGCCATTTATCGAAATTACAGAGTAATTATCAGAGGAATATCGAATATCGAAATTACAGAGTAACAGAAGAATATTTTCAGAGTAATTCTACTCTACTGAATCTACTGAATCTTAAGCCTTTTAGTCCAAACATTTGGAGATAAATATGAAGGGATCCGCAAATGTTACGATCCAAGGGTGCCCACATTGCAAAAAAAGATTAGGAATCGATATTTTGCAAAAATAGTTAAGGCTATTTAAAATATTAAATATTTTCTAAAATTTACAGTTAACTGAAAGGGAATGCGAAAAACCGTTGAAAGAAAGAATTGAGTCCGGAATACCAGAAAATTTTCAGTCGCCAATGCATGTTTTTTTATCGATACCTTCCCATGATTTTAACAAATACTATAACGACGATAATTATATGCAAAAAAATAACGGCGAGATATCAAAGTTGAAAACTATTTGGTCATCAATCAAAGGTTCTTTAGCCTCATTATTTTTTCTCTTAATATCAATCAAGAATTCTCGTCAAACTGGTTCCATTGGTTGCTGCTTTGCTAGAGAATCAATTGAAAAGTTCAAATAAGTGCAATCCTATAGCACCACCCTAATTTCCAATGCCACATTTGTTTCGTTTAAGAAATTTTAAAAAAATTAAGAAAAATGTTATTAGACCTTAATCGAAATAACTATGCGCCAAGTTATTTAGCTTACACTAATGTAATATTCGTGCATTGGGGCAGAATAACCGAAGGAAGATAGTCAAACTTTGTAGCTCAGTTAAGCTTCATTCGCTTATTTTTTCCAGTGCTGTCCGTTGATTTTCTTTTATTATTTTACATATTAATTTAAAACTTGTTTTAGATGATTCGAAAAAAGAAAATACTTCTCTTGTTGAATCTATTAAATTGATACTAACTATGGTTAAAATCTCAGGACGCATTAGTACAGATTCGGGTATTGAGGTTACTCCTGCTTCAACGCCTTCAATAGCACTTGAAAATAATTTTCCGGAATACGAAATTGATCACCAGTTTCCAGACATCTTTGGTTATATTCTTTATATGGATAATTATAATCGCAAGAAAGCGTCCTCACTTGAAATCTGATAAAATTAATAAATCTTTTTGTAACTCCATTAACCTCTAGTTATATGAACTAATCCAGTGATTTCTCAAATTTTTATTTTGAAGGCATTTTCCCGGAAATCTTTTTATTTGAGAATTGAAATTTCAAATTTAGTAAATAAAAAAATTTTTCATTAATAACATTAACGATAAATATCGATGGGAAAAACCAGCATAAATAAAATTCTTCGGAGTCTCCAATAATTTTTTAAGGTTCTTCACAGGGAAAAATTAGCCATTGAATTAACCATAGTAAAATTTACTAAATTTACTGCTATTGTCATTGTTATTAGTTTTTTTTTCATTTTCAGACTTTTTTTAAGTATTTCTTTCTCTGCATAAGGAGAAAATAATTCATTTTTGTTTTTACTGTATTCTCTTATGGTTACTTAATTTATTCTGTGAGAAATATTATCATCAGTATTATAATAGATTTCATATTTATGGGTAAATTTTAAGACTATTGCTCAAAGTTTGTATTTTATTATATATAAATTTATATATATTGTGTGCCTCTGTATTTCGAAATGTCAAATTATAATGTAAAAAAATAAATAAATTCCAATAAAGAATGATTTATTTTATAAATTTTCCTCCTTTTTTATATTTGTTTGTGTAAAACTTAAGGGAAATTTGCAATTATTTTATTATTTTAACAATAATCAAAAAATTTAAATCTTTTTTCCTTTCTTGGCTATTCTCGCTCCTATTATTTTTCAACATTTTCTTCGAAGGCGATTTTATCTATCACGAAGAAGGCGATTCTTCTTTATAAGATATTCCCTACTGTGTTTCATGCCACAGTAACAAATTTTCCACTCGAAAATATTCAAATATACTTACTTTTTTGCATAAAAAAATAAATAAATATACTTTTTTAAATATATTTGCATAAATATACTTTTTTGCATAAAAAAATAATAAAAGAATAACTTTATGAAAAGAATAAGAATAAAAAATAAAAAGAATAAGAATAAGAAATTTTAAATTTCTTTTGAAAATCTCCAAAAAATTTTTAAACATTGTGAAACTGCGAAGTAATTTTTACACAGTTCTTTAAATTGTTAATAATATTTTTGTAAGTTATTCACGAATTCTGTTGAAACAAAGATTAATAAATTTTTTTATTCTCCCATATTCCATAAATATTGAATAACACAAGACAAAATGTTAGAATTCCCAAAATAGCTGAAAAAGATATTGGCTAAAATTTCGATTAAGTAATTTATTAAATAAATATTGGAATAATGAATAAGAAACAACTGGTTATGGTCAAATTAATGCCGGGGACCCAGAATAAACATTTATTTTATTTTTATTTTGCTTTCATTTTGCCCTAATTTTTTCATTATTTTCATAATAAACCTTCGAAAAATTTCTTTTTCTAAGACAAATCACCATTTCTGATTGGTTCGCATGACTCGGACTATTTTTCAAGAAATTCAATTGGGTCATACAAATGAAAATAAATCGCCAATATAACCCGTTAAGATATATTGATAATAATAATAATAAAAACAATAATGTTTAATGATAATTTGACTTTAATAATTTAACTTACTAATGTATAAAAGAGACCATTGCGATATTGCAGTATCAATTTGAGATAAAGCTTCACTCCTGTAATTTTTAAAATCAGTTAGTGGCTATTCATCATCTTTGGTTAAGCTCGTTCTGTTGGTTAGATATTTCATTAGAGAATCACTAATACAGAAATATACTTGAGTCCTCCAGCATCAGATTTTTAAAAGACAATCTTCTTGTTAGGTTTAGAAAGCGAATCATAATCCTTGAAATAACAAGCTCTGCAATAAACGTCCCACACCACCCAAGAAATATTACGTTTAATTAGTCAAATCTCTCTGAAGGTTGATCTAATGGAATAGGAACAAATGCTATTTTGCAACATCCTGCGAAAATCCAATTTTTATAGAAAAAAAGTAAAAAAATTCTCGTAAGCAAGAAAAATTGATCATAAAAACACAAAAAGAGAAAAATTAATTTATTAATTTCTATCTATTATTGTGATTTTACTGTTTTCACTGTTTACTGTTTTTTGTCGAGGGCAATAGATCGTACAATTCCATACGAATCCACAAACCTTTTGTAAATGAGAAATACTTTGAGCCGTACAATGAGATTAGTAAGAGACAAGTTTGCCTCGCCGATAAGCGGTTTGTCTGTGTCACTTTTTCGTGCATCTAATTCAAATAGATAAAATTATCAAAAAAAATTTTATTTAAATTATTAATTTTCAAGAAAGTGGCTATTAAATTCGATTTCAAACAGTTATACTTAATGATAGCGCCATTGCCATTAGCAGCACATTTTAATTATTCTTCCAGCACTGAACTTAACTTATATAGTAATAACCTGATTGATAGACTCCCATTCCTGCTCTAATATAATTAAACGAAGACCCACTTACCAATGATCAGCAAATTCTTCTTATTGGAAGTTATAATCATCCGCTGCGAAGAACATGGAAGTAAATCATTATAAATCTTGATGGTCGTTTTATCTTTCTTCCAAATAACCTGCAGCAGAAAGCCAATGAAGAAAATTCCTATGCATTTTATTTAGATTATAAAGATTACTTCTATTTAGATTATAAAGACCCAAGAAATTGAAAATTGAAATTTAAGAAGAAAATGACAAAAAATTCCATACGTCTCGTATTTCGCCGAAAAGGCTTTCATTAATAACTATTCGATAATTGTGACCTTCGACAATGTCAATAATATTTTCAATATCACCAAGGACGATTGTCTGTAATTCTATTTCGTTGTCACAAGTGTACTCTTCCGATTTTTTGCTCTTTTTCTCATTGAACAGCATTTTTTTCGCAATTTTTGGTGCAGAAATCTAAATTTTCGTGAACATGAGTTAGTGAAAGCATTTTTGAAAAATCTTATAGTATGTTCTGTGATTATCAATCTTCTTCTATCTTCTAAAAACTCTCACGATTACTGGTTACGCTGACTTCGCCTACTACAAGGGTAAGACGTCTCCAAGCTGCTCGGTCCGACGCCATCGCTAGTAGTAATAGAAGGCATTCCTTTTTTCATCGTCTAAGTCCATATGTCGCTGGTCTTCCTATGCGTTCAAAATCTCTTCTGTCTGTCCAATCAATACAGGTCTTGAAGGGCGCTCCTCATTTTTGACGACAATCATCACAGAGCTTAGCAAGTAACGAAATATGCGTCAACTCCTGTAGTGGAAGGGGAAGAACGTGGCTCTAAACAGCGAAGGCGACGCTCTGTGATAACATTATTATAACAGTATTCCAGAGAAGATGAATACAATTCATGTACAATTGTATCTGCTCGATGGATCCGCAAAATTTATCTTAGACAAAGGATCAAAGGATAGTTTCTTAATATTCTCACTCTCATTGGCTATATCTCGCAGCCAAGATCGAACGAATTGCAGCTATATGGACACGGATTTTCGTCTTTGTGGTGATTTCGCGACGGTTCCATAAAGTTTTCATCAAAAACATATTAAAACATATTTCTAGTTGTTGTTATCCGAGTTACAATTTCGCCTGGCCATTTGGAATTAGAGTGGATCCAAGAAATTTAAAATCAGGTACTTCCTAAACCTGCAATGTATTGATAAAAATAGGTATTTTTTCAGCATTATTTGTATATAAGACGAAAACACTATCGTTTTATTTACATCGAATCCAATTCTCGTTGCAGTTGCTGACACATTGTTTAAGATTATTTGCATTTCCTTATAACTACCAGCAGAAAAGACTGCATCAACTGCGTATTCAAGGTCTGCAATGTTATGATCTGGACTGATTTATACATCTTTTGAGTGCCGAAAGCAATGCCCATTAACTAGTCTATCGCATAGTTGAATATTGTAGGGGAAAGGAGGCAGCTTTGATGAACACAAGTTCTTATTTCGAAGCATTCTGTCAATTCCCCATATACACAGACTATCATTCATCAAAACATTTTTATTACTGAGTATGTCAGCCATTAGTACTTATCAGTTCTGGTTGAGTTCGCTCCACTAGCTCTTTATTCTAGTAAATTTGCCAGAGGTTAGAAATTTTGCTTGAAACGATTATGCAATAGACTAATCCATTATGTTCTCCTTTTTATTTATTGTTAACATCTATTTAATCGTTGAAAACCAAGTAGGGCGGCAAACGCCATGTGGTTTTATTGATAACAATTTTTGTTTTATATCAACTTTAGAAATATGCAAATAAAAAGCTTAAAAAATTAATAATTTCTATAAAATTCACTTTTAAAAATCGTTGTTTACACTCGTCCAAAATTCGACAATCAAATTTCTCTTTCATATCATTGCAACTTTCCGATTCAACAAATTGGCCTAATTTGCCTTTAATAGTTTTAAAGTAATCCTTGTCTTTGATCAACTGTAACAATTCTTATATCAGTAAAAAAGCAAACAAAATTTTTGGCAAAATCTTTATTTTATTTTTACACTTTTTACTTAGCTCAAAAAAAGAAAGAATTCAAGTTAAAAAGGAAAACTTTTGCCAAAAGATATCTCTGCAGAGTTTTCCAGTTCTGATCAGTGCGAAGAAGAGTTGAATATATAGGTATTCCTGTTAAATGGTATGGTGCAGTACTTAGATATTTATCAAAGGTTATAATCGCTTGTTGGATATGAATATTCCTCGCGATCGCCACTTTAATCTAAACTTTGCTTTGTATTTTCATTTAAAATTAGGAGATGCCATATAATTGATATCAAACAAATACACGAGTTCATTGAACAAAAATCACAAAGTTCATTACTTCTCGATAAGGATTGATTTTAAAAAAAGAGAGATATGCCAACCGCGTTCGATAGCTTTCCAATTTATCGCTAAAATATTTTGCAATAATAGATTATTATCAGATTTTTTTCCAAAATAATCAAAACATTTTTTTTCGTAATTTTTGATTCTAATTTTCGATGATTTCAAAGAATTATTTAAAAATGTAGAATTTTTTTGGTGGAATAGAAATTTAATGAAGTAGAAAAAATTTGGTGAAAACACCAACATATCCACAAAAATCTAAGGAAAAGAATGTAACCATTCCTTAGATGAAAGCGCATATTCATAGGAACAAGTCTCACTCGTACAGCAACAAGCTGTACAACAGGACCACTCGCCATATCCAATTCCGATTTTGATATTCATTCTCGTATGGACAATTTCTTTAAAATTCTTCGGAAGCGATTCGAAATCATCCATTCGATATCTTCCATTGTTATCGTCATCACCGATCAAAGAATCAACATTGACGACAACATCTGTCTCTTGAAGTTTACCATCTACTTGCTATAAAAAAAGTCTTATTACATCAAAGCCTACTAATATAGTTGTTTTCGAAATGTCACGGAAACCTGCGAGCAGACAACTGTCATATTATTGAAACTGTAGTCGTAGTGTGCCAATCTAGCAGGATCTGGACTGATCCGTAAACGTCCGTCTGGAAAAGGAACAGCGATATGTAAATCCGACCTAAGACAAAGTTTTATATTTTTATACGCAATTTTGTTCGATAAAAAATAGGAACATCAGCACCCAGATTTAAATAAATAAATTTGTCCAATACTTCTTCTTCTTCTTTTTTCTAACAGCTCTCACCATTACTGGTTAGGCTGGCTCCAACGGCTATAAGGGTAAGACGCTTCCAAGCGGCGCGGTCTGATGCCATCGTCGACAGTAATGGAAGTCATTCCTTTTTCCATCGTCTAAGTCCATATATTGCTGGTCCTATACGTTCAAAATCTTTTCTCACCGTATCAGTCTAGATATTGATTGGCCCACCTTGCTTTTGACGCCAATCGTCACACGGTTTAGCAAATAACGAAATATGCGTCAACTCGTGTGGTGGATGACGGAGAATGTGCCCTAACCAGCGAAGGCGGCGTTCAGTGATAACATTATTTATGCAAGTGGTATTTGAACAAAGGTGGATGCGATGTAGTGAGATTTTATCCACTCGGCGAACCCGTAATATGTACCTTAGACAAGAGTGGTCAAAGGCAGACAACTTCTTAATATCCTCCACTCTCATTGGCCATGTCTCAGAACCATATAATAAGATCGAACGGATCACGGCAATATAGATGGACTTTCGTTTTTATAGTGATTTCACGACGATTCCATAAAGGTTTTCATAATAATTCTGCTCCCAGAAAGTTGGTAGAATTCACTACAACGATCATCGAGGAATGAGCTTATTAGATGTTTCTGGGGCGATTTTTGCCTTTCTCTACTAAATAGATATGGTAAAGCATGATAGAAGGCATGACAGGGTCCTATCCAAACCACATTTGAGCCATATCTGCTATGATGGATTATGGCAAAAGCAAAGAGGACCATTATTTTATATTGACAAGAAAGATTTTGAAAATATAGGCGAGCCAGCTATATAAGAATTTATGAAGTGGAAGAAAGAGTGAAGAGACAGTGAACTCCGAGACAGATATGGCATTAGACCGGGAAATTTGGAAATATTATCCTAGTCGCCAGTGTAGTAAACCCAACAACAATGTGCGAGCTACTAGAAGAAGAAATGACTGAATTAGTACGACACATGAACCGATATTCCATGCGATGCGTCATTCTGTAATAACAATAATAACTTCCTTTGTTCAACAATTACAATGAAAATAATTGAAATGTACAAGAAAAGTATAGTTTACATATAATTGAGACGATCCCACCAGCGATCAATAGCAAATATGCTTTGCATTAATTCGCGGATTTCACCAGTTTTAAGGCCTAAAAATTGATAACAACAAACAGCAAGTATAAGACATATTTATTGCTGATAATTCCACTTACGGTTTTTGTTCAAACTGTATAAATAAGCCGCAATTGAGCTTTGAGAATGCAAGCGAATCGAGGGACCTACTGAATCTATGTAAGCTTCAATACGATCTTGGAGACTTACCGAAGCGAATACGTCTCTGTAAAAATTTTCTAGGTAAACGCTTAATTTTAATGCTGTCTAAATTCTAGTATCTTTCTAGTAACATGTCTAAACGTTGTTATTATTGTTCATGTTATTTTAAGCCAATGCATCATCAGTTTTTCTTTTCGTTTTAAGTAAATGTTTAGAATGGTTGAATGGTTGTCCAGATCATCCTTTTAAATGAGAAAAACAAGCGGTGAATGTTCGTCATTTCTAATAAGGATAGCCCCTGCGGTTGCGGTTAGCAATTTTCGCTAGCCAATAAGCCATTTGGTGTGAGGGGAGACGAATCGCCATGGTATAACCCAGATTGTTTATAGTCGAGTCGTTATTATTATATCATTCAGATTGTTCAATAATAGGTTTATCCGGAACCTTATCTACGATAACCTGAACCACTATCCACTTGATTGCCTTAATCTTGATTGTAAATGATTTATAGAACCTTATTTAAGCTTCCTAGTAGAAATCTGCGCTCTCCGTGATTAAACGAATACTACCAGAAACTATTCTTTCATTCTTATCTCTCTTACAAACTCCAACAAAAATGTTTCATTTTATTAATATTCCGCAAGGCAAATCTAATAAGGAAAGCTGAGTGAAAACGTGAATAAAATAAATAAAATATTGAAAAGAAAAATAATACGACAGAATTGTCAAAAAAATAATAATACTTATTAAAGCTCTTTAAAAATTTGTTTATGAATTTCTTGAAATTACCTTTTTGATATTAATTTTCATAATTTATGCAAATAAGAAAACCTTTTTGGTAATATATGAAAATTCGTAACAGAACTTTTCCACGACGTGAAATCAACGCATGTCAGGCATTCAATCTTCAAATTATTTATCAAGATAAATAATACAATATTTTGGATAACAAATTGATTTTACGGTACTTTCTTCGAGCAAAAAATAATTCTCATTTTTTGCGTAGCTTTCTTATAATTTTCATCCTAATTTTTATTTTATTTTAATTAAATTTTTTTATTTATTATTATATAATAAATAAAAAAATTATGTTTTATTATATTATTATTATATAATAAATAAAAAAATTTTTAATAATTATTTTATTTTAATTAATTATTTTAATTATTTTATTTTATTTTAATTAAGTTTAGAGATATATAAATCGAGTAAAATTACCTCAAAGGGCATATTTCTTTCATGCATTATTGATATTATTCTTATTGAACCGATAACGATTGGTGCTTTATTTGAATTACATCTTAATTTTTAGTATTATTTAGTGTTATAGTGAAGAGCTAATTCTATGTTATATAATCGATTCAGCGCCAAATTAGTAATAGGCTCGGCTTATTTTTTCCCCATTGGCACTTGCATCTCCAAAGAGACTATCTAGTGAAGAGATCTCTGCTTGACAGGGACTGACAAAGATTTCAGCTTTATAGGCAATGATTCAACTCTGGTGAACGCTATTCGATGAATTAAAAAATTATTTGAGGATTAATATAAATTATACGCCACTCAAAAAGTTTATTCGATTTTCTAAAACTTTTTTTAATAACTTTTTTTAAATATTGGTCAGACTCGCTTCGCTCACTTGTCGCATTAGAAAAATGGTCGCCAACATCACCCTCTCGTATTACAGTGAAGAAAATGGTATTGCCAAACCGATAAATTTCCATTCGTATAAAAGTTTGGGGAAATGAATTGCTATAAGGCGGTTTTAAGATTCTAGATTCGAAAGATTTTAAAGAATCCTTTCGAAAATAAAAATTTATTGAAGAAGTAAAGTAAGGTTGATGAAAGACCTGGAGAATATGGTTTGAAGGATTTTGGTACTCAATTCAGTGCAGCGCTTCTTGCGAACGCAGTCTAGAGTTATTGTGGAGTGTGGCGGAACTTTTTTTGTTGGTAATTGCCATATTCACTATTCTTCCAATTTTTTCTGCTTACATATTGGATTCTTTCCTGTTAAGCTAATTCGTCTTCCTGATCCTTTCCTGTTCTCCTATGGAACCATTTTTTACCACAGATAAGGATTAACCAAGAAAAGAACCGATTTTATGTGGTATTATTGAATTAGCCAAAAAAATTGAAATCACCTACTACTTTTCTAATGAAAATAAATGAGAGATAATGATATGCGGAGCTTTAATAAGATACTTCAGCTAATATGCATGAAAACAGAAATATGCGACTCCAAATCTAAGCACTACAAAAAAACCGAACAAATCCTTTTTGAATAAACAAGTAATTATTAATTAGTACTTATGACAAATAATCACTTACAGCTCCTTGTTAAAATTGATATTACGAAAAAGAGAACGTTTATAATTGCTAAAAGCGGAACGATATTGTTCATTTGCCCAATAAGCTTTTTCAACCTTAAACTGCTACTGCTAAAATTTTAATGCTTCCAAGAACATTCAGACAAAACCACATTTGTCATAGTTTCAAAACGATATGAGATTTATGATTTAATATTAAATCGGCACTTAACAAGATATCCAACGATAAAAAGTTTGATTTAATTCCGGTTTACCAGTTTTCCGGCCGATACGCAATAGTAAAATTCGTTTGCAATTTTAATTGATTTGAATTCAGAAAAAAGTTTCATAAGTTTCAGGTTAACCTGTATACGATCTGGCACGCGAATATCTTCGCCTTGATTGTTGGGAAGCTTGTGATTAATAATTTCCTGATTGATTCTAACATATCCCAATTCAGGAAAAGAAACTTTTGGATAGCAGATTTCACTAAATTTCAAAAATCCATTTGATGATTTATTTTTGCGATAAAATTTTCTGGATAAAAAAATGGTGAAAACAGCAAAAGCCAACAAAACTTAACAAATCACATTCATCGCGCATATATGTTGCGTCATATCCTCGTTCATCACTCGGAAAATTATCAGATAAGAAAATTCTCATCATTGTCGTCCATGGTAAAGGCCTCGTTAGATAAGGTATTAAAGCTATAAATAACTTTCATAATTTCTGAAAATAAAGCGCTCAAAAATTTATCGCCTTATTTTTTTTTATTGGCATTATAAATCACTGTGAAATCAAAATTTTTATATTATTTGCAGATTTGCAAGTTTATAAAAAACCTTTTTCATTTTCTCCTCGTTTATATTCATAAGTAATGGGGCAATATTTCATTTTAGGATCTTCTTTATGCGCTGGAAAATAATAATAACACGATGAATTTATGAAAAATGCAAATGAAAACACAAAGTAATTTAAATGCAACCGAATCATTAGGAAGAATTCAGGAAAAATGAATGAAAATATGCCATCTTTAATATTTCATTTCTTTAATACATTTTTATCTTTAATAAAAATATAACTAACCATTAATCGATCGAAATAAATTGTTCTAAATTATGTTAAATTTAAATCAAATAAAATTTAGAATAAGAATAATTAAGATGAAATTATTGCCAAATTATTATTCATATTTATCAAAATATTATTTTACATTGTCGATTGCCTTTCTTCTTTATCAGTTTATCAGTTTTTGTCTAAATTTTTTATAAAAGTGCTCTTGGTACTTTTAAAATATATATTTTCATCCGCCATGAAAATCCCATTTTATTTTTAGTGATTAAAATATTGATGGCGCAATTATACGAATTTTCTATCGTCCATTAAACAAATGCATTTATGAAATTCTTAAATTGCATTCTTAAGCGTTCTAGAATAACATGGCATGAATGTCGCATGTCACAAGATGGAGCCTTGCATTTATGATGGATGAAAAGTTTTTGTATCTACTCAGTGCAGGTACTGCGAACCATTGACATTGCAACACATCGCCACATGTTTCACACTCTAGGAGCGAAATACTGTGAATACTTCATACTTCCTATACTTTTAGAACGATTTTACAAATACTATTATGAGAAATATCTACTCAGTTATGCAATGATTATGAATTGCGAAATCTACAAATTGTGGGTTCAGAAAAATGTTTATGATATTTAAATCTTGGTCTACTACAAATGCATATGAAATGTTTAGATTTTTTAGGACTAGGAGGATAGAAGGATAGAAAGATATTAACAAGAAGAAAAAACATTAATACATTAACATTAATAATGGTAACTGGCAGCTGGGCCAATGATTCAATGCCATGCCTAAAACAATTGAAGCCACTTTTTTTTCCACCTTCTAAGCTCATATGCTGCTGGGCCTCTTATGTGTTTAAAATTTTTCAGCAATATAGATAATGGGAGTGGATTCTAGAAATTTGAAACTTTTCTTAAGTCGGTAATAAATTTATAACAACTAAAATTTATATTATTGTCTGGTATATAAGATGGGGTACAAGATAAGATGACTAGTTCATCTTATTTATATCCTACCATTATCGGTACCTGGTCTAAAGTCGCTTGTTATAAACAATCCGTAACAATCAGCCAAAAGGATAAAGAATCAGCAATCAATGTGTTCAAAGTCCATAATACTATGCTCTGGATTGCCTTTGCGCACCTCTTGAGTGGAGCAAGCGATGTCTTCTACCGCATAGTTGAATATTGTTGGGGAATGATGCAGTCTTGACAGACACCAGTTCTTATTTCAAAAGAGTCTGCCAATTACCCAAATGTACATAGTCCTATGTACGCTGATAAAGTGCCTTTGTGAGTCGAATGATCTTCTCTGGAGCACTGACACATTCCATCACTCTCCAAAGTTTTGCTCTTTAAGTTGAATCGAATGTTTCAATTTCCGATATTTGGAGCGATGTTCCAATACCTTTCTTAACGTGATACCTGGTCAGCGTCCTAGTATCGCGTCCTAGTCGAGCTTGGTTAGGGCGTATCCTGTCTTATATTGTCATAAGTTTATTCATCAGAAGTAAACAAAAATTTTCTCGGAGACATTTAATAGGCTGATTTCTCGGTAATTGCGATATACCCTGTCATCTTTCTTGGGAATTTGGATTAGAATTATTTTGCTCCAGTCATCTGGTATTATTTCTTTCTTCCATACCAAAGAATAGAATACATTTGTTGAAGGTGTGATAGGAAGGACGAGACAACATTTAAAGAGTTTATCCCGAAGACTATCTTCTTCATTTAGTGGCTTCTGGATGACAGAGATTATTTCGTGTTCTGCTTGCTGTTTGCAAAAGCAAACATATAACTCGATGAGAAATTCAGCCATGTCCTAGATAACAGATGGTGCATCTTGGTTTTTGGCCTCAAAGAATTCTTATGAGGCGATCCTTAATAGCCTTAATAGACGTATCATTACTATCTCGTATCATTTCACTGAATCTCTCGATCTCCGATTCTCGAGTTATAGTTGTGTTTATTTTTCTTAGCTGGGTAGTTTTGATTTGGTCGGTTTTTGGATTGCGTCGGTGAGTTTATCGGTCGGTTTATCAGTTAGTCATTTACCTTCCTATTCAATCGTAATCCTGTATTTTAATTCGTCATAAAACTGATACTATTTTACACATCGTTCTATTATATTGGTATCTGGGCAGTATAATCTACAATTAGCTGTATATTCCAATTCGTGAAAGCGCCGACGAGTATACAAGTCACTTCTTTTAGAAATTTTAGTTTTTTTTCTTCTTTCTGAATTAGTAAAATTTTCACGTCATATTTTTGCCCGAGGTGAAACATTATGATTTCCATAATAATAAAAGTATTAAACCTGTAAAGGAGAGATGAGGAAGACTCCTTCACGAAATAACGGCATTAGATATCAAACTTCCGGAACCAAGTTTGGTAATAAAGGAACGACTTTAATTGTGCGAAACCAAAGGACGACTCTTCGAAGAAAAAGTCTTGTGATTTCAAATTTGCATCAAGTCAATCGAATTAGCTAACGACAAATGGATTGAATATACACAGAAATCTCTTACTGTGACAAGAAAAAAGGCGGAGAAGTAACAAAAGGGAAAAGGGGAAGAATTCAAGTTGATAATCATCACGTTGACTATGTATAAAGAGGAGATGGAGATGAAAAGGAGATGAATGAAATGGAGAAATTTACCTCGATCCAAATGCCATCTAAAAAATCACCGAAGGCAATTCCTTACCCAAATGTCAATCTCCCTCAGTTGTCCTTACCCACTTTCAGTGGTGATCCACGACACTAGAGAGAATTCTGGGGCAACTTTAATACCGCTGTTCACTCCCAAGCTATCCCAGAAATCCAGAAATTGAACTATTTAATTTCCTGCTCGAAAGGAAAAGCAAAGGAGAAGCTGCAAGGAGTTAAGAATAGCCCAGAAAATAATGAAATCGTACGAAAAATGCTGACCGAGAAATGTGGTGACTTATCGACTATGATTGAATTATTATACAATGAACTACAAAAATCCATCAAACGAAATCAAAAAGATTGGATTGAAACAGTAGAGAAAATGGAAAGAATAATTTTCCAACAATTAGAGGCGCTAGGAGAAAACCTAGAACACTTTAGCATTGAAACTGTAGTAGAAAGCCGACTACACGATGGATACTTGACAAAGTATACCACCAAATATCTCGATAGCTCATGGTCAGTATTAAAGCTCGGAAGATTTCTTGGGAATTTAATTAGTCAAGAGATAAGAAACCAATTCTCATTTACTCATATGGACATACTTTACTTAAAACTAAACAGAATTCAAGAAGCTACAATGAAACTTCAATATTAGCAACCATCCACAACGAAAAGAAGATTCTTTATTCTACAGTAATCAAAAGCGCAATCAAAACAAAGAAGACCGTGTAGTCAAAATCATTGTGATAGTGAATTTCAGGTATATCCCACACTGAACACTCGAATGCAACGTTTCAAGGAGATAAAGAAATTCACGAATTGTCTGAAGGCACATCAAGGCGAAGAATGTAAAAGAAAGGTAAAATGTTTCTACTGCAAGTGCCTTTCTCATAGCAGTGCCCTTTATGAAAAAGGAAATTGACCACATCCGAACAAAACGTTATGCCTTAATAAGAGTCAGACAGACGAAGAAGTTAACAAATTGGAAGATTGTTCAACTAATTACAACCTGACAATGATGACTCAAACGTAACTAAGAAACAAGCTAAAGAAACTATATAAGGAGATAACTATATTTAACCCATTACAGCCAGAACGAACAGAAGAAGTATTAGCACTATTTGACAATGGGTCACAATTATCTTTCATATCAAAGGAACTAGTTCAGCGGCTAGAGTTAACAGAAACTAATGAACAAGAACTAAGCTCTTTTCGGTATTAGAAACCCAAAATCACATAGAGCCACTCAAGCGCAGCTCAGTATGAAGGTTAAGAATTAACAAAGATGAGATTATCGAAATATGCGCTAATGTACTCGAATATTTGACCAAGGACTTTCATATTGTTAAAATACCGACGGCCAATCAAACAATGAATTTAAAAAATTATTGGAGACGAGCCGATATTTTAATTGGAGCGGATCATTTATTCAAATTTATAGAATTGAATAAAATTGAATTACTAGAATCCGGATTCTCATTAATTCATACGAAAGTTGGATCAATGTGGGAAGTGGCGACAAGGATCAACTTTATCAAAAAGGTACGATACATACCTCTAATGCAATTTGGAGCCACTTTAAGCTCCGGATCAGAAATAGAAAATCCAAGTCCAAGCCAATATCGGCATAAAATTGACAATTCCCAAGAAACAGTGTTTTCCAAGATTTTTCAACTATCTTAGACTAAAAAATTCGGGAAAAGTGAGCGCATTTCAAACCGAATTACGGATAATGAAGCATTACAGTGAAATAAATATCAATGGCTTTTTTGGAACTGTAAATGAATACCAATTAAAGAAATGTCTCCGAAAGCCAACCACTTCCACGCTAGGGCATACTAATAGGAAATGTGCTAGTTGGATATCGGAAGCAACTGTCCAACTATCTGAAAAAGCTGCCAAAGCTCGAATGCCAAGAGATCCTACCAGATGCCTCCTAAGTATTATAATGATAGAAGAAAGACGAAAGAGAAATCGCTATTGAAGCGCTAAGAATAAAGACGACTGCTCGATTAGGCGATAAAGGAAATTATTCCTCGTCCTTTGGCATTATCCATACCTGACGCAAGTCTGCGGAAATAGCACAATGAATTTTCAACGGCTTGCTTTTAAAGAAATTATTGAATAAAATAAAGGGTACTTCTCGAAGGCGGTTTTTTAAGGATTTCAAGGATTTCATCTTATAGTTTAACCTCGAAAGGTGATCCTCCACGATGAAGTGGCAGCACATGCTAAAACATAATTGCTTGTCTGTGGTATATTCGTTTTCTGGAACTTCGATCTATCTTTGCAAACTATAAAATTATTTATAAATATTGCAAAAAACTATAAATAGTTATGAAATTAAATGGCTCTGCACTGTATTCTGTTTGCACCAATTTCAATTTTTTTCAATTTTCATATTTGAAAATAATTATTTTACATATTATTAATACACATAATAATATTATTATTGTCACTGGGATATTTTTATAGAATTATTTTCTCAATTTTTCTATAGAAACAATGTTCAGTTATATTGCCATTATTAATCTATGTCATATAACATAATTACAGAAATAATGATAAATCCAAAAGCGGTCACTGCACATTGTAAGATTCTCCAGGTATCTGTGCTTTTCTCATTGAATAATACCTGAAATTTGTTCACTCGCAATAAATTTAATCGAATAAAAATACGTTTAATTGAAGTCTTTTTAGACATTTGCATAGATTAGATTTATGCAATTATAGGCTGGTTTTTAATCAGATTTCATTTGGCTTTATTTCTGATATTTATTTAAAGAGAAGTTTTTGATTTCCACATGCTGTTGTTCACATTGGATTCAAATTTATTAGGGGAATAATAATTTAAACTACTAAATTATTTTATATTATTTCCCGCTTAACTAATATTTATTTATGATTTTTAGGCATTTCATGGTTCCACTGAAATATGCGAAAATTTCATTCAAAAAACGAAAAAATTGAATTAATTTGAATATTAATATTGAATATATTGTTCAAATGTTAATATTAATATTAAATATTAGTATTAAATATGATTTTTAAATTAAATGAATTCATGGTTTTATAATAAAAGAATAACCTCGAAAAATGTTATATAAAAAATAGTTCCAGTTGCTAAGCATGTCATTACTGTTGAAACAACGTCCTTTGTGAACATTCCAATATCGGAAATCTGAAAATTTCCTGTGATTATAGAATTATTATGAGAAAAGGATAATTGTGGGAATGCGAACATAATGGCAGTGCTAAAAGGCTAGGATTCTCCTTCTATTTTGCATTCATCTAAAAGATATAAGGAAATTATAACCAAAGACTTAGAGAAAGGATTAAAAAGAATATGATAAAAAATTCTGTGCCCTTACCGACGTCTGAAATACAGATAGGCACTCTTCAAACCCAATCGGTATACTTAGGCGCCAAGGGACGAAGGAAGATCCGTGAGGATTGGCTTTACAATTTTTTTTTAATGAATGCTAATTAGTCAAAACAGTATAATAAGACTTTAAATACGTTAAAGTACCAAGGTAACCTATGGAGTCATAGCATAAGAGTGCACAACGAGCAAAGGCGATTACGAGGATTTACGAGATTGCTAATAATTGCCTGGTACTAAAGAGAAGGAAGCAAAGGCGCGCGTTACGGAATTTCAAGAGCTGTTAATAAAGAGGCATTTAGGAGTCTTAGTAAGGAAACTCTAAAAGCTTTCATTCAGGATCTGCCCAGAAGTCGAGTGGATTTAAACAATGGGTAAATGAGTAAAAGGATTTTAATAGTAAAATTCAGGAGAAACAGAATTTTAAAGGAAAGTAGTCGATTGAGGATATTTGAGGGTATCTATAAAATTTATCTAGCCTTCGAAGAAATATATGGGTTGCGAGCAAATATGACCTTGCGCATGCATTTTCACGCAAGTACCATACACTTACATGCATTCTTTAATCTAGAAAATTAGTACATAAATATGTAATAAATATGTAATATTTAGATAGTTCCTTTTCCTTTTGCTATTCCTTAAATAAAATTCTCTTTTCCTATACATATGTAATAATTTAACCATAATTATACTTCAGAAGCTTGTTAAGGAGTTCAATTAAATCTTTTCATATGAGTCATTTGCTCTGTTAATGTTTTAAAAAAAAGCAAATGAACTAGTAAAACCTGCACAATGATACCAATGGTACCGCCAATAGGCGTTGTTAGTGAAAACAGTGCTATTAATAAAATAACAATTAATTTTTTATTTGGATGTGTTTTTATCAAATTCATTCCAATGCTGAAAGCAACCACTGCCTTATGAGTTATAATGCCGATAAATAATGTTGATGCATTAACTGATTTTTTCTAAAACATTATTTATTTATGTATTTATGTATCCATATTTTTAATTCGATTACATAATTCATCTTGATTTCTAAAATTTTATTAGTAAGGAGAATCAAGATTTTTTGAAACATTTGGGATCGACTGCGATTTTCTATCTACGAACTTTTTTAAAGCCACGACGAGTTTTTTGCTAACTTTTGCTAAAAAAGTTTAAATTTTCCTTTTTTATACCAACAGAAAAATTCTGGAACTATATAAACAATAAACAAACTTGAACGCCTAAAGCGAAACCTTCCATGGATGAATGAAAAGTAAAAGCACATATCAGTAAAAACGATTTGAAAATTTCCTGTTTATTCATACTAAGTTCATTATTATTAGTGTATGCAAGGATTGTCGAGTTTTTCCGGTGTTTACAGGCTCTTTCATTCATATTTATATCTCCAGCTTTTACATATTCTTTCACTGAATCTGAGATCGATCTGGAATTTGAAAAAAAACATTGATGGATGAGCTATATTATTGTTTCGGCTGAGAAAAGGAACAGCTTTCCTTGACAGAAGTGAATTGCTATAAAATTCGGTATTGCTGATGTCCTATCATTAGTTCCTTTCTATTCCTTAAGCAGATTTCTAGCGTAAGGATTAGCAAAGTGGTTCGCCTAAGAGTTCATAATTCCAGCCAAATTAGTGGCGCATATTAAAGAACCGGATTTTAAAATAAAAGTATTAATAACTGGAGAATTATAGCTTATCGAAAGGATTGCTCGCTTCATTAATGGATTTATGATGCAAAGATTTTTTCATTTAAATAATAAAGCAGAATTGAATTGTTATACTAACCTTTTTCTCTGTAATTCATCTGATTTTTTTGTCGAAGAAAACATTTGCTTATCATTATTGGAACTCTCAAATCTATTATCAATGCAAATATCCAAAAGTATTGCTTCAATAATATAAACGAGAAAGAATCCAAGTCCAACAATGAATTCAACAAGAGGATAATTAAGGTCCCAATTTGTGGCCTTTTTCACTCCATTAAAACTTTCACTAAAGTTTTTTTAAAATTTTAAAATTTTGCTTGGAAATACTTCTTAAAATCTCTTTCATTCCTAATTAATGTAAAATAATTCTCTAAATGAACTTTTTCGCGCCTCGTAATATCGCTAAACGAATTCGAGACGAGCCCGTAAAAAGAGATTTGTATTCCCGTTGACGCGAATTCACCTGCATTTCTACTCAAGTAACAAGTAATTTTTTAACAGAGCAAAACGGTTTATCCTAATATTCAGTAGGGCTAAATAAATTAGGAAATGGAGCTATTTGAAGGTAAAAAAGAATGAAAGATGCCACGACTAGCTTAATAAATTATTCAGTGCATGCATTTCCCTTAAAGAAATAAATGAACATTTTAGGCGAAATTAAGAAAATATGAAATATGCTTTGTTTTGTTGCAAAACTTTTGCTAAATAAAAAAATTATAATTTTGGCAAATTGAATAAAAGTGAAAAAACCTTGCAAATGGTAATAAATCAAGAAGACAAACGCCAAAAAATACGCCACCAGAAAAACAAGATAATAAAGAAAATATCAGTGATAAGCGCTCATTGCTTGTTAGTTGCTTTTCTAAATAATAATGGAGCTGAAATATAAGTTATGTTACTTTACTTCACTGTTAAATATTAAATGAACAGAAAACCATAAATTCATATTGAAAATATGAATTAGCTGAATTAATCTGATAATGATATTGTTTTTCGAATTCTAATTTTTATCGAAATGAATGAATAAATATTAATAAATATTTCTAAATAAAAATATTAACAATTAATAAATATTTCTGAATAATCGTCTCATTTATCATTTGTCAGATGACAAATTTTTACTGATAAAATGAAATTCACGCAAATTTACTTACTTACTTAAAGAAAATTTTATATTTTTGATTTCAGATAAATCACGATATTATTTTGATGAACAAATGAGTTTGAAAAAAAAATTTTTCAAAGTGGTTTAGTCGATAAATTTATGAAAAATCTCAAGAAAATTAACCTTGATTGGTATAGTACCACATAAAAATGCGACAACTGCCATTATAAGGATATAAATCACTTTTAAATAGTAAATATCCATTTCTCGAACTCAGATTCCTATTAGATGAAAGAAATCTTTGCAATTATGGCTGGTCTTCGTCCTTCGGCGATAATTTTATCAAAAGAAATGCTAGATGATATTAGTTAAATAAAAATAGAAAGTATAAGTAAAGCAATGCCGATTTATTAATATTGGTAATAAAATAATGATTGTATTATACAATAAATATTAGCAATAAAAATAATATTAGCAATACAATAATAAATAATAAATGGTGAAAGGGAATAGTAAAATAACAAACAAAATAACAAAACGAATGATCTAAGATAGTCTCACTAAATTGATCGGAATAAATTCTGTGAATTCTTTATTATTTCCGATGTTGGATGCCATCTGTTGCGCCAACATGGCTTTGTTTCTCAGTTTCAGCAGAAAGGAGCTATGGAAGTAAAAAAGATTTTACCCAGAAAACTGCAAAGATTTTGAGTTGTTTAATTATTCAGTTTCTACAGAAACTAATAAAAATTATATTCATTCTTACAAGTTTTAATAAAATTAAAGAAAAAAACTGCGCAGAAACAATTCATAAAATAATATTGGCACCTTCGAAAATGAAACGTATAAACAGTGTATAAGAGATTTGTAAAACTGAGAAATTAATATAATAAAAAGCAACGAATGATGGAAATGAAGGCGAAATTTGTAAAACAACAGTGAGCTTATTTATAAAGCAATTATATAAAGTGAAAATTTCAATCAAGCGCATGAAGAAAATTTAAAGACTTTTAGAAATTATGATTTTTTCGCATAAAAAGAAGAGAAATACGTGTATGTTATCAATGAAATTGATAATTGCTGATAAACTAATCAAAAATAATCGTTGATAAATCATGATTGGCTGTATGAAATGTAATTAATTGAATTCAAAGCATAAAATTTTTTTTCTTTAAGAATGCACCATTTCTGGTTAGACTTGTTCCACTGGACTAAGAACCTCAACACTTCAAACTGAGCAACAACCGATTGACCCATTCTACTTCCTTTTACATTCCTCATTTGGCATTGCAGCTCGGTACCCTAGCCATTTTCGATTTTCGGTGGTGATCATTTTGCCATTAAGCCACCGACGTACGCACAAAATCATAAAATTAACTTCTTGATAATAGATAAATTAATTAGGCAGTTTTTATAAAATTGACCAGAATGGTTCACAAACTTATGGCTTTGGTGTAATTTCTGGCAAACTGTGATAATTGGCTGTAAGTTGTTGCTCTCATTTCGGAATAGAGTTCTATTCGCAGCAAATAAGCTTCTTCTTCGTTTTCCTTCTAACAACTTCCACCATTACTGGTTAGGCTCACTCCAACGGCTTCAAGGGCAAGACCTTTCCAAACGACGCGGTCTGATGCCATCGTCGACAGTAATAGAAGCCATTCCTTTTTCCATCGTCTGAGTCCATATATTCCTCGTCCACCTATACGTTCAAATCTTTTTTGACCTTTTCAGTCCAGGTCTTGATTGGCCCACCTCGCTTTTGACGCCAATCATCACACGGTTTAGCAAATAACGAAATATGCATCAACTCGTGTGGTGGACGACGGAGAATGTGCCCTAACCAGCGAAGGCGGCGTTCAGTGACAATATTATTTATGCAAGTGGTATTTGAACAAAGGTGGATGCGATGTAGTGAGATTTTATCCACTCGGCGAACCCGTAATATGTACCTTAGACAAGAGTGGTCAAAGGCAGATAACTTCTTA